CAGCGCCGGTGCAGCCGATATCAGGTATCTATACTCTATACTATTATAATAAAGCGTAAACACACACTTCTTTGTTGCCTAAGATGTCAGAAATTACAGCATATTTTTGAATAATCCTTTCTTTAATAAAAAGCTCTACACTTATGACACGCTTTAGGCTATATATTTTCACGCCATTACACTTAGGGAATAAATATTTTGGATAAAAACCCTTAATGTGTGAAAGAGACCATAAGTTGCTGCCAACATCAAGGAAGCAAGATTGCCAAGGTCATTGTTTTGACATTTGCTATTGATAATTTGACAAATGTAAATAATAAAATAAAATTTTCATAATTCCATGCGGATGAAGCCGCACGGGAACAGCTAGTTCTACATAAAACAGTGTGACTCATACAACGGGTCAGATAAGTCGTTCTATAGTTGTCTTTTTACTCATTCAATCAATGTATTTTACAAGTACGTTTAAATACAGCATACAACACGTGACTGGTCAGTTGGTCTGTATCTAACCTTGATAACGTTACCTATTTGCATCAGCTCTTTTAACTCGTAACGCGACAATAAATGGTTTCAAAGACAGTACAAGATGTAATGTAGGGGTGTTAATGAAACGGCGGTTGGTACTGGACTGATTTATTATTCGTCATACTGACGGTACATTATTATTGGCATACCCACATATACACCACACAAGAAAATGCGCCAATTCATCCCACAAACTGATATAAAGAGGAAAGATTTGGATTTTTGTATGTATTTGATTCACGCTAAAACTACTGGGGCGAATTTTTAAAATTCTTGCACCAAAGGTAATCCAAAAATCCAAATCTTTCTCCTTTATAAGACAACTAGCTGTTGCTCATGACTTCGTCCGCGTGTAGTTAAAACTGTAGCTTGTCGTCACATCGTGTGTGAGTCACATCACAGATAAATTGCCTTTCTAACGGTGAAAGAATTTTTAAAATCTCCCCAGTAGTTTTTGAGTTATTCCATACAAAAATACAAATATTTCCTCTTTATAATATTACTAGCTTTCTCCCGCAAACCCGTCCGTGCGGAATTAAAAAACAATTGCAAGTAGCCTATAGGAAGAGGAAGACCGAAGAAAGTATGGATGGATTGTGTAAAAGAGTGCTTAAGAAAGGAGTGTGTTCAGATATGACTGATAGAGATGTATGTATGGAGCACATACTGTGCCGACCCTCCGTAAGGGATAAGGGCAAGTGGATGATAAATTGCAAGTAGCCTATGTATTCTCTCAGACTATCCTCTACATCTGTACCAAGTTTCATAGAAATCTGTGTAGCCGTTTAGGCTACAAACTAACAAACATCCATCTAAACTTTTGCATTTATAATATTAGTATGAAGTATAGATGACTTTTTCTCTGAAACAATCGATGTACGATTCAGCTATATTTCTAGTAACTAATCATCTATCTCAAATAAATTCCAGGACCGAAGCCCCCGAAGCCCCGGCCTGCCAGTTCAGAGCACCTTCACCCGGAGCCTCTGGTGGAATGCGTGGTATTGCATCAACCGCCAACACACACACTGGACGTCATTTTTGTACACGGATTATATGGTAGGACCAAAGAGTTTCAAATCTATTCGACGACGAATAGGCCGGCTAGCCCGGTGTACCACG